TATATTTATTTTTTTTATTTTTTTTTAAGATTAATAATTTTATACTATGAAAGTGTACTGTGGTATAAAATTATGACAATTCTTTTTTTTTTTTATGAATTAATAAGTTCAACCAAAAAGTGTGCTTACTGCTTATCATGAATATAATTTCTTGGATATTTAAATTTTTTATCATTTATGTATGTTTTATTATTATTTTTTATTTTTTATAAATTAGATACGCCAAAAAAGCGTTACGTATATTTTAAACCAGGCACACAAACAAACAAATACATACATATTCAAATGAATCAGAAATGAAAACGGCAATGTTTTAAACACGTTTACTTAGCTAAATTGGAATACTGCATAGACTTTATTGTTTTTATATATATTTCTTATACAGCTAATTATAAATACTATAACCTAATCCAAACCATAAGCCTAACAGAAAACTTTCTGCATTTTTCCAGTTGCAAAAAAATCTTTATTTACCAGTTTTACAAATGAGAATGTGTCCAAAATGGGGTTTATGGAGATTTTGTCAGGTTAAGCTCACTTATGGGTACAAACACATCCTTACCGATTTTATAAATGGGAATGGGCCCAAAATGAGGTTTATGGAGATTTTGTCAGGTTTAGCTCACTTATGGATACAAATTTGTTCCCAAAATATGGTTAAGCAGGTACACACACACACACACTCACCAGCATCTGCTCAAACAGCTCCAGCACAGACTCGTCTGACAGCTCGTTCAGCGAGGCGCTCTGGGACGGCACTTCATACTGGGCGGCTGACGAGTGTCTGATTCCCATCGTGCCCGACTTCTCCTTCTCCTTCTTCGTCCGCATGCTGGTGAAGCGCTCCAGCTGACACAGGGTCAAAGGTCAAAGCTCAGAACACAGCAAAAACACATTGGAGGATTTTACACTCTGTGTCTTAGTCACTGCATGTTCAGAATGGCATACTAACATCCTACATGCACAGTTTATGAGTTTTTAGCATGCATGGACTCAAATGTCTTACTGCATTTGGCAAAGACGTAGAATATAACAAGAAGAATGCAAATCTGACCTTCCATTTGCAGTGCACACTGTGCAGTAAATAGCATGCCAGTATTTCATTCTGAACACAGAAACCGTTTAATTGACAGAACATGCTCTGCTGGGAACAATAAACTGATATCATCTCAATTTTAATTGTCTTTATGTGTTTATTTCATCGAGTCTGTCAATCAACAAGAACAAAAGGCATTGAAGGAAATTCCAGATCAATCCTGAAATACGGCTCCTCTGAGGAACCTTTTCAAGTCGAGACAAGAGTAAAGCAGCAGAAACATCTGAGATACTTACACACACATCCTCCATCACATTCAATACAAAACAACAGAAGCTGATATAGAACATCTCGTCAATAATCATAATTATCTTTTTTATAGCTGATCATAAAGGCTGACAGCCTAAATCGATACTATTTTGCCTGTTTTTTAAAATGCAAAAAGTACACAAAGTATCAGAGAGTCTTGAAAAAAAAAGTATGGTAGAAAAGATCTATCTATCTATGATAACCTCATCCTTTAAAAAAAAAAAAACATCTTGATTTACACATTTTTTGGATTACCATGACACTTTTTAATTTAAAAAACATTTTGATTGATTTTTTTTTTGATTGATTGACTGATTAAATATGATTTTTTTTTTTTTTTATATTATTAAAATATATTTCTAAAGAAGTTAATGGATTCAAAAATATTTACCAAAACATTCATATTTATTTAAAAGAAAATCTCATAAATTAACAGATCTGCAAAATATTGTTGATCCAAATAACCAATTTGAATACATTTGAATCTGGGCAAAGATTTATTTATTTTTTTACTTAAAACAAAAAATTAATTCATTAATAACAAGCACAACAATAATAAGCAAGCAAGCAAGCATGTAAAGTAAAAATGTAACAGAAGTTT